TCATAAAGATCGAATCTTTCAATTTCGTTCTCTGGAGAAGAAGTGACTTTTGTTTTCAATCAACAATGGCGAAGAACGTTGGGATTTTGGCTATGGACATCTATTTTCCACCTACCTGTGTTCAACAGGTAATAAGAAAAGCCCAACTCTTTATTTTTTCGATTTCATCTTCTTCTATATTAGAGTTATTGCATTGATACTCTGTTTTGTGTGTGTGTGTGCGCGTGTTTCGGACACAGTTGAATTCGTCTTGATTTTCCTAAATCTTAAAACTTTATTGAAAAATTTCCGAATCAAAATCTTGAAGACATCTGATTCTAGAGGAATTTTTTCCAGAAATCCAACATTTTTTTTGTTTATTTATTTTTTAAAAATTAGACAGACAAATGCTTGTTCTTTGTCTCTGGGTTTTGTAATGCGGCGGAGTTTGGTGGATGATGATGAAGTCACGAAAACGCTTTAATTTATTATTTTTATTATCATTAAAACAAAAAAAAAAATCAGGATTCTGATTAAATTTCTTAAACTCAAGATCACTGCATCTATGTCTGAGATTTGGTTTATGATACTTGAGATTGATTTGATAAAATAAAAATAAATATTAGTGTCTATTTGATTAATTGGTCTAGCTGATTAACTGTAATCAGGAGTTTTGAAAAAAGGGTCTCTATTGGGAAAAGTTTAAACCTTTTTACGATTTTGTGGTTCTTATTGAGATTGAGATTGCTTTTATTTTTACCATGGTCTTGCAAATCTTTAATAGAAGTATGTGAGCTACAACATTCTCTTTTTTTATGTTCTTGATTATGATCTTTGTGTTTTATAATTGTTGAATATTATTAATTCCCTTATTGATCAATGTGTTTTATATAGGAAGCGTTGGAAGCTCATGATGGAGCAAGCAAAGGGAAATATACGATTGGACTTGGCCAAGATTGCTTAGCTTTTTGCACAGAGCTTGAAGATGTGATTTCAATGAGGTTTGTTTTTCGTTTGCATATTTTCTTATATGTTCTCTTGCAAAGGCTGAATGAATCTGTTTCTTGGGTGTGTTTCGTAGTTTCAATGCGGTGACATCTCTTCTTGAGAAGTATAAGGTTGACCCGAACCAAATCGGGCGTCTTGAAGTAGGAAGTGAGACTGTCATAGACAAAAGCAAATCCATCAAAACTTTCTTGATGCAACTCTTTGAGGTATCATACTCTCTGCAATCTCAGTTGCAATTGAAAATCTGAGGACCGCTCATGTTTGTTTGTGAAAAAAGATAGTAAAAAGTTTGTTTTGTATTTGCGAATGAACAGAAATGTGGAAACACTGATGTCGAAGGTGTTGACTCGACCAATGCTTGTTATGGAGGAACTGCGGCTTTGTTAAACTGTGTCAATTGGGTTGAGAGTAACTCGTGGGATGGACGCTATGGCCTCGTCATTTGTACTGACAGCGCGGTATAATATCAACATATAATATTTTTAATGTCTAAGAGTCTTTGCATAATTTTTCACATGTTTATATATTTGAATGCTTTCAGGTTTATGCAGAAGGACCCGCGAGGCCCACTGGAGGAGCCGCAGCTATTGCTATGTTGATAGGACCAAATGCTCCTATCGTTTTCGAAAGCAAATTGAGAGCAAGTCACATGGTTCATGTGTATGACTTTTACAAGCCAAATCTTGCTAGCGAATACCCGGTAATCTTCAAGAAATAATCTCAAGTATTTAGCACATAATAATCTTTCACAAAATTGCATAAAGTCTTACAAAAGTCACATGGCTCATGTGTATGACTTTTACAAGCCAAAGCTTGCTAGCGAGTACCCGGTAATCTACAATATATAATCTCAACCACGGGAAGAGAACAATCTTTCACAAAATTGCATAAAGTGTTACAAAAGTTTCTTCAGCATTTAAAAGAAACAATATTGTTCTTTCGTGTTCTTGCAGGTTGTTGATGGTAAGCTTTCACAGACTTGCTACCTAATGGCACTTGACTCTTGCTATAAACATTTATGCAACAAGTAAGTAATTTTTTATTTTACTGTCACAAAAAACTCAGTTTCTCTCTTCTGGTGTTCTGTGTAACTCAATCCAATTCTTTGGTATTTATTAGGTTCGAAAAACTCGAGGGCAAAGAGTTCTCAATCAATGATGCCGACTACTTTGTTTTCCATTCTCCATACAACAAAGTAATTTCTTGATCCTCCAACAATAGTTTTGTTCTACTTGAGTTGTCTCTTACCAGTCTTCTCGTGTCGTCGCTTTTTGCAGCTTGTACAGAAAAGCTTTGCTCGTCTATTGTACAACGACTTCTTGAGAAACGCTAGGTTTAACCTTGCTTATTTAATTGTGTCTTCGAATTGGGAGTTCTTTTTGTTTTATGATGAGTAACATTTTCTTACCTCTATTGCAGCTCCATTGACGAGGCTGCCAAGGAAAAATTCACCCCTTTTTCATCGTTGTCCCTAGACGAGAGTTACCAAAGCCGTGATCTTGAAAAGGTTCTTCGTTGTTTCCCTTTTCTTCTGTTTTGATACCGAGAGAAATTGTGTTATAGCTCAATTTTGTTTGCCTCTTTTGCAGGTGTCACAACAACTTGCGAAATCGTTTTATGATGCTAAAGTGCAACCAACGACTTTAGTACCAAAGGAAGTCGGTAACATGTACACCGCTTCTCTCTACGCTGCATTTGCTTCCCTAATCCACAATAAACACAACGATTTGGTAATATGAGAAAACAAAGTTCTCTTATTCTGATTTTACTGAAATCCATTACATTTGGTTTTAAGTTGTTACATTTGTGTTTGGGGTCTTATTGTATAGGCGGGAAAGCGGGTTGTTATGTTCTCATATGGAAGTGGTTCAACCGCTACAATGTTCAGTTTACGTCTATGCGAAAATCAGTCTCCTTTCAGCCTTTCAAGCATTGCATCTGTAATGGACGTTGGTGGGAAGTTGAAGGCTAGATATGAGGTAACAAAACAAACAAAAAGAGTTCACAAATCACAATCCTGTTTTTGGATGATTGATTTATGAAATATAATATCCGAATACAAACCTAATAATTTGGTTCGGCTTTGGTTTTCGCAAGATTTTATCTTCAATTAGTGACTGATTTTCAAAGAAATTGAGCTTTTAATTGGTTTCTTTGGTTCAATGAATTTAAATCAGTTTAGTACTTGTTGGGTTTGGATTTGATCGCTTAAACCGGATTGGTTACGCCTCTCGGGGCTTTTTTATTGCAGTATGCACCTGAGAAGTTTGTGGAGACAATGAAGCTAATGGAACAGAGGTACGGAGCAAAGGACTTTGTGACGAGCAAAGAGGGTATTTTAGACCTTTTGGCTCCGGGAACATATTACCTGAAAGAGGTTGATTCGTTGTACCGGAGATTCTACGGGAAGAAAGGCGACGATGGATCCATTGCCAATGGACACTGAGCCTTGAGTCTTGAAGTAAAATCATGAAATCACCTGAAAATGGTCTCTGTCTTTCTAACGGTTTTATAAGTTTGTTGTGTACTTTTTTATTTAGGGACGAATAAAGTATGCGCTGTTTTTATTTACTACTATTGATTTGCTGTTGAAATCTATTTTCTCTGTTTGTGGTATTAACTAAGTTCGATTAAATTAGGGATTATTAAAAGTGAAGAATAACATTAAAATGAATTATTCATGTTAGTTATTATATTATTTTTGGGGTCTAATTATTAAAAATTTGAAGGCATGTAAGTTAAGGTTTTTTAATTATGATAGTGTCTATTCTTAATTTATATTTGTTTTATCAGTTGAAAATTCATATTTTTTTATTGTGAAAAATACTAGTATTTTATAAAATGTGCGGTACTTTTTAGGAAAAATATATACTTTTAATTTTTAATTAGAAAATGTGAAAGGAAAAGATATTTTGGGAAAATGTTTTTATTTCTAACACGAAAAAACAATTTTGTTTTGTTTTGTACTAAAAAGCCAAAAGTTTTGGCCCAAAACAAAAGCAGATTGGAAATGCTAATTGATTTTAGATCTAAAAATTGGGAATATTCAGTGAAGCTCATAGGAAGAAGAACTTTGAATTTATCAGAATGGTTGAGATGAAGCCGTCCACTCTGAATTTTTTTTTTGTGGTCAAACCTTTTCTCTGTAATACATATTCAGATGAAAAAAAAAAAGGCAAAACGAATAACCAATCCTATGTTTTTTTTAAAGGAAAATTAGGTGAAATAACCAACAAAAATTTATTAATTAAGTAGATAGCATAAAAAAAATTAACCATGATATTCTTCATATTTTGTGTATTAATTGCAAACACTAACCCTCTCCTCTCCCTATTCTCACAAGCACACGCATATTTGTAAGCTTTTCCCC